GAGGGATTGTATTTGAGTCAATGAGTCGATGCAATCAACTGGTTTTCCTTAGATAGAAAACTTTGAATCAATTTGACTGTATGATCTGGATGAACTGTAAAGCGCCTTGAGATGACTTGAATTGTGAATTGGCGCTACATAAATAAACTGAATTGAATTTTGCTATAAAAATAAATTTGCCTTGACCTACAAAAAAAGCACCTTTTTATATCTGATTATTAATCAATGAATTGAAAAGACGGTCAAATTATCTTTAGTTGAGGCCCTGATATTGTGGTCAACTCATTCTTTAACTCTTTAAGTTCTTTTATTGGTTCCCTTTGAGACACCCAGCCAATGTGAAAACCGAAACATCACACTTTGAGTCCCCATGAGGGCAGATAATGAACCTTTAAAGCCAGCTAACATTTTTGAGCTAGTTGGCTGTGAAAACAAACCTAAAGGAGTTAAAACCAGGGGCACAAAAAAAGCAAACAAGAGAAAAGAAGGTCCACATGTTTGGTAGCTTTGAAGTCCTGCACCCACGCTGTGATGTCAGGGAGCTCTGAGGTATCAAACTAATGAAACCATCTTTATTGAACACCACAGCAAGAAAACTCTGTCAACAGTGTGCTCAGCAGTTTCTTTTACATGACAGGGAATCACTACTATTCAGTTTTGGGATAGTGTTTTTCATATGTACTCCTACTTGTTCCTTCATATGAAAACACAAGAGTTCCTTTGTCTCTGACTAAATGCATTATTCAGAATATATAAGCGTGCTTAAGTCATGCGGAGGCTGCACTCTGATTTACTACATGTTTGAGATTTCTTAGCTACAAATCACAGCGTCATGGCTGTGTTCTCAGAAAAGCATTTCAAGGATGTGGCGAAGGCTGGAAGGAGGATGTTACGACTCAAAGGGGACAATGTGGAAGAATGGAATGCTCTGAAGCACCACAGAGATGTTAATGTGAAAATTACACTTTTAATTATGCTGTGAATGGTGTCATGCATCATTACTGAATGGGATAGGTCTCTCTTTTTCAGCATAAGACAATGAAAAGTCTGTCCTGGTCAGAGATAGCAGTGAAGTAGCTCAATCTGGATCAGATTTAAAGAATTAGGAAGGATTCTCAGACCAAATCAGGGCTCATTTTTCGTCATGTGGGCATGAGGCGTTAAAAAGCCTGTAGCCAAACAGGACACCTATAGATCAAGCCTGTGAAATCATGTGGATGTGGGGGTTGAACGACCTTCAGTAAAACAAATTGTCCCCAAAGGATGTTTCGTGGTCCTCAGATGATCGATGAGACAATTATTTATCAAAGTTAGATGTTTAAAAAAATAATAAAAATGGGGGGGTTATCCGAATGGAAATCTCATGGAAGTGCCCTTGCTTTAGCCTCCAGAGATCCCTTTCTGCTGAGCATACATAGTGACCACTGAAAAAACAAACATCTGGCATCTGTCCAGTTCAAATATTTGCTTCAACGACCTCTGTGAGATCCGTGCTCATGTTGAAACCACTTAGTGCTACAATTTTCAGATCAGGCAGTGCAAAACATGAGTTTTCATTCTTCGATATGACATCAACCACCAAGATATGGGTGGTTAGACCTCCAAGTTAGACAACTGTTTGGGGACATTTTCCTATAAAGATAAAGAATTGTCAGTGACTGAAAGTTAGGTTTTTAAAACAAAGACTGATTGCAAACAATAAAATGGAACAGATTCCTTTTTTCACATTTAGCAAACTGTTCAATAAGCGAAGTAAAACATTTGGGCTATAGCATAAGAACTGATTTATGACAAAGTGCAGAAGCAGTGCTCCAGGATCTGAAAGCCCATATGTCACCAGTTAAATTTGACATCTGCACAGACAATGCACCAGTAGCTCCTTTATGCAGCTCCAGCCGACTTGTGCCAAGATTATAAAGCCAAAATGAAACCAATCACCTGGCTTTTTAGAATGTTGCTTTTGCAGCTTAAGTAAGTCACCATCCTGATTTGATCAACTGAAACAAAAGTCGAAAAGAAACCTGCCGAATTTAGCTTTCATGTTTCTGTCATTCTGCTTCTGCAAGCCAAGCATTGGTTAATTAGGCTGTCTACTTTACAGACACGTCAATCATAGTTTTAAAACAGCTGTACTTGAATTTAACAGATAACTCATCCTCATCAAGTTTCAAAAAATGTTTTTGCAGCCAGCTGAGTGGCAGTGTGCAACAACTGGGGGCAGAGGATTATCTCTGGTTTCCATGGTTTGCAGCTTCGGCATACCTTTGTACAAATATTTTTTATTTTCTCTACATCACATTCAGATGAAATTTTCTTTCAGGAAATGAAACAATACAACTGAATATCTCAGTGATGTCCCAATATTTAACTTTTTGAAACCTTTGCAAACAAAAATACCAGTAACCTCCTCCCACTATGACTAATTAGAATTGCAATTTTTTAATGGTTTTAATGTTTTTGTTTACCCTGCCATTGTTTATTTCTTTAGATCCTATTTCCTTGCTTGTTTATGCACAAAAACAAAGTGAGGAAATTGGTCAAGTGGAGCAACAGACCAGCTGAGCTTCCCACAAAGCCTCTGTTGTTGTTATTGTGGGAATAACTATGGAAAAGGATTAGGGCCACTGAAAAAAAAAAGTTAACACATTCTTTTAAATATTATTTCAGTTTAATATGGGGGAAAAGTCAGAATTCTGACTTTAAGCTCAGAATTTTGACTTTAATCTCAGAATTTTGGATCTTAATGTAGATGGGCAATATGAATGAAGAGATGTGGGTGCGTTCAGTTCACTGACAAAGATGTGAGTAGTTTGGGAGGGCTAGTAACATGTGCCCAAGTGCTGTGCCCTGGTGATGCCATTTCATTAATGAAAGTGCAGAAGGTGATTAAAACAAGAGAGCTGGTTTAGTCTCTAAAACAGACATTGCTTTGGCTTGTTGCTAACATGTTTATTAGCTGTCAGAATCCAGTCAGAATTCAGAGATTGAAGTCAGAATTCTGAGAAAAAAAATTCAGAATTCTGAGATTAAGGTCAAAATTCTGAGAAAAAAGTAAGAAATCTGAGAAAAAAAAGTCAGAATTCTGAGATCAAAATCAGAATTCTGAGAAAAAAAGTCAGAAATCTGAGATTAAAGTCAGAATTCTGAGAAAAAAGAGTCAGGAATCTGAGATTAAAGTCAGAATTCTGAGAAAAATGTCAGAATTCAAAGATTTAAGTCAGAAATCTGAGAATAAAGTCAAAATTCTGAGAAAAAAATGTCAGAAATCAGAGATTAAAATCAGAATTCTGAGATGAAAGTCAGAATTATGTCCTTTTTCAGCATATTATACTGAAATGAAATTTAAAAAAAATCAGTGAACCTTTTTTATTTTTTTCAGTGGCCCTAATCCTCTTCCGTAAACAAAGATCCAGGCTCTGCCTCTAATACTTTATTCCTCTGGCGTTATTACAGGCAGAATCCAGGGACCATAAAGGAGCAGGCTTGTTTATCTCATCAGACACTGATCCAGGTCTTACCTCCACACTGAACGGCTGCTCCTCTCCGTTCACGGCACATAAAATCCACAGCAACAACTGCAAGCATAACGTCCCCATAGAGCGACTATTAAGACATCTCCTGCTGAGGAGAGCTAATAAAAGCATAGTGAAGGCGGTCGGTGTTGACGCTCACTGTCCGCAGCTCAGCTCGGTTCACGGTCGCTGTAAACAGAGCAGATCCTAGACGCTTAGCAGCAACATCTCTGGAGCTTTTCCTCTAAAGCTGAGGGGATGTTTGAGAAGAAAGGGGGAGAAATGAGAGTAGGAGCGGATTTGTCCTCCTCTTCCTCGGCCGTTTTTGATTTTTGCTGTTTTAGTTTAGGGGAGGAGGTTCTCCCCGGGGAAGCGGTCGCCTGTCAGCAGCCTCCCAGTGAAGCACTCCCCGGGTCGGTCCTCCGGTGCTCCGGCCGTTGCTCTAAGCGGACGCGTCCAGCTCCTTCTCTGCAGGCGCGCGGCATAGCTGCCCGTTTTCAACTGCGACTCCCACCTACTGCGCATGCGCTCCCTGCCAACACCACCCCTCCCTCCCCTCTATGCTTCTCCATCCCAAGTCTCCAATGAAAACAGCTCTCATCCAGGCAGCTCTCTTTCACACTAGCTCAACACTTGCAGCCTTTTTTTTTTTTTATCGTACACTGTACTTCATTTTATGTAAATAAATCATTACATAAGCTGTATACAAATGGAGTTCCGGCTTATTTTCTTTTTCCAGATGACAGCATCCATTGTTAGGTTAATTATTATACTAACAAAGACTGCACCTTAAAAATGACACAAAAATGGTTCAAATGTATTATGTGTCAACTTTAAATGTTAAATAAAGAGATATATGGTTATCTAGAATAACTTTTACACGAATTAAAAAAAAAGATTAATTTTTAATATTTGTTTAATGTTAGATGTTTAATTTTTAGTGTTGATTTTGTAGTAATACCTTTCTCAGCCAGTAGAGGGCGATAACAGAACCAGTCCTTCTTCAGATCACCCTACCATTAGGAGCAGTTTGGAGGATTCTGTTATTCACAGTAAATGCAAATTAAGTCCGCTGAGTTGTTGTTAGTGCATGCAGAATGATGCATTCCTCTTATTTCTGCTAAGGAATTTGTCCTGAAGGTTTTTTTTTTGTTATTAAACATAAAGGATTTTTTTTTTTTTACAATTCAAGATGTAATGCAGGTTAACCCAAAAAGATAATATAGTAATTTTGTTTGAAATAATTTCTATGAGTTAAGTCTCTGAAATCTGAGCTAATAAAACTCACCAAAAATATAGTTTGTCAAAAAATTTAAATACCAAATACTAAATACTTTATTCAGAAGTGCTATGTCTGAGTAACATACGTGGGGAGTGTTGGCCTAGTGGTTATAGCAGTGCACTTGTGCTCTGAGAAGGTTGCAAGTACCTGCTTCGATCCTCACAACCTCAACTCTGGGTTCCTGAGCAAAACCCTTAACCACACACTGCTCATCAGGCACCGCACAGTGGCAGCCCACTGCTCCCCAAGGGGATGGGTCAAAATACAGAGTGAAGTTACCCATTGTAGGGCAAGAAATTGATTCACATAAACCCAACCAAATCACAGAGAAATCTGCTAATTTGAAATTTTTTCTAGATGATAGTCTGATAGTCAGATGAAGGATATGCCACCGAGTGTAAGAAGCTGTTCACTCACATAGTGCTGTATCAATGCAAACATTGAGAGAATGTTTAGAGAAAGGAGAAAATGTAGGAGGGTAGCAAAACGTTTACAACAGAGATACCAGGCACCTTTCGAGTAGAGGGAAATAAAATCTATTCAGTAGTTTGGCAGAAACTCACATACATTAGACTTAAGCTCCTTATGAGCCAAAGCCCCCAAGATGTATTTGAATCAGTACATTTTGAGCCCTTTTAAGGATTTCTATAATCATCACTTCACATTTGATATCTGGACACACATCTATTTTAAGCCTCATGAGGTATCAAAACTACTTGCCTTACATAAATGCTTTGGCTGTGGGGAAAGTTGGATGGCTAAAATATTCTCTACGTAAATTAAGACCAGTTTAATATTATTCGGGCTCGAAACAAGAATACAATTTTTAAAAAAAGGATCCTCTTGGTCCTCTATCGGGAAGCATTAGATGTTTAATAAGGATAATGACCCACAAACAAATCAGACTGAGGGAATGAACCTTGCAAAGTCCCAATGGCAGGAGGAATGTGTTGGAGTTATTATGATTTCTGTTGTTTTATGATGTTTTTATCATTTTATTCATTCATATCTTTTATAATGCTTTTAAATCATTTCTTTTGCTATGGTACTGTCATCAGTGGAAATGTATGCGGGTCATAAGACGGTCAAATGTTTTGCTAGAATGAAGCTAAGATGTTCCTGTTTTTCATCTGATAGCACAGAAGTGGAAGTTCATGACCCCCGACACCTTTTGTAAAAGCATATACTGACATGTTCCCTATCTTAAAAGTTCATGCTATGTCTAAGAGATTGCGTAATCAAAACTAACACCTGCTGTTGTAATGTGTTGACTGCTCAATAAATAAGCCTGCAAGCTTTGTACAAGACGAAACTGCACAAAGACTTCCCAAAGCTCTGTGCATTTTCTCTTTGCAAAGCCTGGTCAGGAAAAATCTTACGCTGTCTTTGTTTATTTCTTTAATAGGTTAAAGTTGGGGAAACTTAACAACCCTAACAAATGAAAAATTATAAACAAGGCCTTGAAGGACAGGCTAGTTGTGTAAATCCATCCATCTATTTTCTGTCACGCTTATCCCTACTGGGCTCGCCAGGGGTGCTGGTGCCATCTCCAGCTGTCTACGAGCGAGAGGTCGGGTACATACATTGCGCACCTCTAAGTCATGCGGGGCGAGGAACATCCTTGGGACACACACATGTAAAGGGTCTAAGATGTGTGTATGAACCAGTGAAAGCTCTGTACATCTTAGCCAAGGTTTCCTGTAGAGTGGATGAGTAGAAGAGAGCCATGATTTGGTGACCATGATTTGAGACAAACAGGACAAACAACCATTCCCACTCGTACCTAATTTAGAGAGGTCAATTAACCTAACAGTCATGTTTTTGGACTGTGGGAGGAAGCCGGAGTACCCAGAAAGAACCCATACATGCTCAGGGAGAACATGCAAACTCCATGCAAAAGAAACAGGCCAGGAAACGAACGCCGATCTTTTTGCTGCAAGGCGGCTGCTACCCAATACGCCACTCAGCAGCCTTAGTTGTGATATCAATTACTGAAATGAATTTGAAAAGTCAGTTATGCAGTTATGATGCAAGAACCATGTTGATAGTTGTGATTCAGGTTCAAACTCTCATTGGGCCGGATCTATCAAAGGTTTGCGTGTATAAAAACGTGAGCTATTTCACTGCGCTCGCTAAAAAATTTACAAACTGATCTATCAACAG